ACGTAAAATACTATTGGCTGGAATGTAGTACAAATGTTGTGTAACCGAAAATTTTTGGTGGTGCTCTTGGGGTAGTTTTTTTTTGTGGGTGAGCTACGGAGGTTTTTGATATCAAATTTTCGGCGATTTAAGGGTTAAAATCCGAATCCTACGTTCAAATCAAATAATTTGTAAATCTGGTACTGATTTCTGAAACTTACGTAAAATTAAATGTAACGTAAAATTGTAATTTATGTAACACAACCCCTAAACATACATGTCTTTATATACGTATTGAGTAGAAAGTTATTGTAATTCATATAATTTTTTGCGAGGAAGTTTCAGACATCGATATAATTTTTGTTGTGAATAACATTGGCCTAAACCTTTACAAAGCTGGCATATAAAGTATAACAATGCTGGCAAAACTTTTGTAATGCAGGTACAATAATCATGTGTCAGTGCACTAGTTAATGTAACCAATAGAAATCCTCCACGCATATCATGTGGCAAAAAAACAAAGTTGGATCGTTAAGTTCTTGCGAAATAGTGACAGTTTCAGTTTCTAAATTTCATTCTAATTTTTTTCTTATATTGATCTAACGTAATATGAATATCACCTATTATATAATATAGGTTTAGATATCGGAATGTTAGATTTTTCTCCAATTTCTGATCTGTAAATATATGTTTACAGGAATTGCCTAAAATTTATCATAATTACAAGTGTAGGTGCCGGATATTGACTAAATTCTTAAGAGTAAGTTCCAATTCATACAATTCCGTGTTCAACAGCACAGGTAAATACGTACTAGTTAATAATAATGAAACTTATTTTATCAGCATTCATAATATGTAATTTGAACTTGACTACATTTGATTTTACTTCAGAAAAGAACTCATTAGATATGAGTGCATGAGAATGAAACCCTGTAATCAAACATAATAAACATTAAGAGGTAAATCGCGGTTAAAGGGTATAGGGTTAGAATGCAGCTAGCTTACGATGAAAAGCTTTTTTATGCCAAGTAAACCTTCCTTGAGTTTCTAACAAAGATTATATAACAAGTCATTCTGGTTCTAATAGTGGTAGAATTATTCAAATTGGTTTGGTAAATTGCAAGCTATGGGAATTTTCTCCTTCATCATTATATGATTTTTACATAATGCCAGAAACTTTCGGCATTCCAACTATATACAGTTATATGAAAGTAATAGTAATTCTCCGCTGATTTTTACTATACCCTTCAACTGCGATCTACCACTTAAATGTGTTTCCAGGTTTTCACTCTCATGCATTCATATAACTATTAATGAAACACTAATTAAAGTCAGATTGTTATAATTATTAGTTAAATAAAAGATACAATTAAAAAGCAGAATAAAGTACAGTATGTGAACCTTTGTAGTAGAAAGAGTTCAAAAAATATATGATTTTGAATTAATCAAGTTTATTTTAATAATTTCGGGTGATGTGCATGCTTACAAGATCTTATTTGGAATTATAGCAGATCAGTATATGTAATACGTACAGGCAGGTAAAACGGGGATTGCATAAGGCCGAAATTAAAAATAATTAAATTTATTTTCGAAACCATAAGCGGAAAGATATAAAGAATATATGTATTCTTTAGCAAGAATTTTACTCGATAAGAATGCCTCTTCATAATTATTTTTTTGTAAAAATTGGAATATAATTAATAAAATTGGGTACGTATATTAAAATTTATTGTTAAGTTAAACTAATGGTTCGCATCGTTTTATCGGTTTTATGAAACAAATTTCTCCGGTTTGGACCGGCCTTATCGGTTTCATGAACATTGTTATACGTAGAATTTCTAATCTATGTATATTGTTGCAACACAATCTAACCTCAATTCTAATTACAGAATTACGTATAAATTATTATTTTCCTTTTTAGTTCAAAAATTTAATTAAATACCGTTTCACTAACAATTACTTTCTTATCTGCTTAACAAGTTGAGAAAAGTGACTTCAACTCATTCCAAAATTTAACTTTTAACATTCATTTTATTTCTTTAATAATCATTAATCATCATCATTAATCATCATGTTCCGCACGCTAAACATCTTTATAGTATTAGTTTTAACCTTCTTAGCTTGTTCAAATGCTAATACCATCACTGTCAATGTTGCCGATAAAGGGTTGGTTTTTAGCCCACAAAACGTTACTAATGCTAAGAAAGGCGATGTTGTATGTATCTTGTATAATTTTATATTTTATATTTGAATTTTGTTTCGAATTCGGTTAAATATTTTTCTTGGAATTAGATCTCCTTCTCGTTTGTTAACGGGAAACATAGTATCGTACAAAGTGACACTCCAGGTGTATGCATAAATTCTACAACTGCGACTTCACGCAAGTATCAGTTTATATAGAAACTTAATATTCACATTCTGAGCTTACCTATTAATTTTATCAAATTCTTTTAGTCTCCTCAGGAATACAATCTCGGGGTGATAAATACGATTACACCATAACCCAGAGTGATGGGGCCATATACTTTTTCTGTAATTATGCTCAACATTGTCTTAACGGAGAGTGGGGTGTCATATACGTAGGTTCTTCCGGTAACGTTGGTAGTAATGGTAATAACGGTAATAACGGTAATAACGGTAATAATGGTAATAACGGTAATAATGGTAATAATAGTAAAAATTCGGCTCCTATTAATGCGCCCAGTTCATATACTCTCTTGTTATTATTTGTTATTACATTCACTTTTGTCAAATCAATAGTTTAACATTTAATAATAATATGTCAGATTATTAGACTTGCTCTAGTTGTTATCATTACTGTTATCATATTTTATATAGAATTTTCTGGCTTAAAAAAAAAAAAAAGATAAATATCGCCAATCTTAAATCCATTTGCATATTTTTCTATTTCTTTGAATATTTTTAATTATCGTTATATATTAGTAAGAAAGTTTATGTCTTTATTAATGAGGCTAAACAACTCGGGACATACATACATACATTTATTATCAATTTACTATTATTTGAATTTATCTGTGATAACTTTCAAATAAAGTTTTTTATTGGCGATGATTTATATATTATGTTTCAAAATTATCTGATCTATTTTAACATCCTTTAATATATAACGAAACATAGTTGCACGTTCATTCTAGAATTATATATATTTTTTTAATTCTTGTTTTTTTTAGTCGTTCCACCTATTCACATTTCAACAACTTATTTTGTTTATATCTTCCATTATTTCCTAAAAATATTCATGTTTAAATATTTTTATTTTGAAAATAAAAATACAGTATATAATTAAACGCAACAGGTAGGGTTGAGAGTAGAGACGCTGGAGAAATTAATTTCACTAACTCAACACCAATTTCGCAAATAGTGGTGGGAATAGAGGTGGTGACGTATTGTTATGTGAAAAATGTCTTAATAGCGTATGTTATGATAACCTACAGTTGTCACAAACCAGGCCTACCAAAAATTAGTTGCAATTAAATTTTTGTCATATTGCCTACACTGTTTGAACCCTGTGTGTCGATGTTACTTCATCAAAATCTGGTCTAGTAATGATCAGCCTCAAAAAAGTGACGGATGCATACGTACTGTTTTAAGTGTTGAATTGGAAATAAATAATTACCGTATTAACTTATGTACTGTATAAAGAATTTGAGATGAATGCATCTTATTAATAAATGTTTACAAAGTATGATACATTTTAAGTAAAAGTCTTTTTATATTATATAATAATAATAAGAATGATTGGTATCTGAAGTTGCGACATGTCAATACATACGTATTACGGCATATATGCTGCAGCATGTTTGAGTTACGACTGTGGACCCTAATAAAAAGCTACGTCATCGATCATCCTTATGCACGTAACATACTTAAGTTGGAATTACATAGTTTATATGTTGCATAACATTATAAGTACGTACAGTGGCCTCCGAAAGTATAAAATAGTTACACAAAAAAACATAACAAATTTAAAAAAAACAACATAAATTTTGTAAATAAGCAAATTTAATACGTAATAATATTTTATTATTACGCAAATTAGCAAATTAATAATATGCAATACATAAATATGTAATTACAGAATTATTGCAATACATATCGATACCAGATTGATATACTACATCAATATTTGCAACTATAACCTCCATTTTCAATAACTTGAATAATACGATTTGGCATGAAATGATGTAAATTATGAATTTGCATGAATTTATGTTATGTTTTTTTTGTGTAACTATTTTATACTCTCGGAGGCCACTGTACAGGACTTGCGGCTAAAGTTATAAAAGTACTGGTCGAAAATGATTATCGTTATTACTTTCTCAATACATCTTTTACGAATTAATTATTATCGGACGGTTATTGATAAATATGTTCTAGAACTAATTACATATCAACTTGACTAAAATCTGCTTAGCTGGCTTAGTCAAAGTTGATCATCTTTGGTTAACCTTCGGAAGTTATCTGAACTTTTCCTCATTTGTCTTAACTAGAGATAGGCAAGGTAATTACTTATTACATAAAAAATCAAATCACATTGTGCGACAATTTACTAATAATATATACTTACAACTAATAACATGCTAAATTGTCGCATAGTGTGATTTAACTTTTTACGTAATAAGTAATTACCTTGTCTCATATCGATAATTTATGTTTTGTTCAGAATTTTTCGGAAGCTAAAGCACCGAATCGAATTGATCTATAAAACCGACTAAGTCGATTTATTGAAAAATCAGTCGACTAAGCCACTAAGTCGATAAAATCGACCAAACCGAATTGACTACAGTATTAGAGCGATAAAAATTATCTAATTTGATTGCTAATTATCATGGGTGATCACGGGTAGATCACACCAATTAAAACAAACTTCCATCCTTTTACCGTATAAGCGCGAAATAATGCCCATCTATGTGTTAATTCGGATACACTCATGTATGTTATTTCGAAATAAGGGCACACATTGTCGGGAAAAGTGCACTTACGAAATGACACTTATGAGAAGTAATAGTTGCATGATTACATTAGACTGATACACCTTATGGTGAGTCGACCATTTTTCCAACAATACATTATATGCTACAATAGGATGTACATTACTGCGTAAACTATTTTGAAGTTAGTGATCGTACCCTAAGATAGAGTAACTGGTTAACCGTTAGGTCACCCGGATATCCGGATTATAAAATTGATTAACGGGTTAATAATTAAGATATCCGGTTAAAATTACTAAAATTACGGTAATTTTCCCAACCATAATTTCACTTAATGGGCGGCCACGATTTAATTAGTAAAAGTTCGAGTAATTTTGCTTAAATTTTTGATCATTGCCGTTAGCCAATCAAAATAATGAATTTCCCTATATTTTTTGCAAGGTTTAATCGCAGTAATTACATTGCCACTTCCTTGGTTAAAGCTTTCATCTGGTCCAATTTTTGTAAGATGATTCCAAATATCATTATTACCACGCATGTTATAGTTATTTTTAAAAAGAGTGACTTAAAGAAAAATTTTTGGTACGTAAGCAAAAGATACCAACGGCAAAGAAGGCATATATATATATGTGTGTAAAATGGTATGCAATAAGTAAACAAATTCTAATTAGGAATTAGCTGAATATGTTAATCAGGCTATATATTATATTAATGCTGGCCAGATGTTATAGTAATGCCGGTCAGATAATCTTATTTTTGGATCATATTAAAAATCTCGCGCGGGCTCAAAAAAAATCCTGCGCGTGCCCATCTCTACCTATACATCACATGCCTAATAGAGCCGTTCCTGGTTTCGCGCAACTGTATCTCGCAACTATCTTATATTTAGTTATCATACCTGCTTTAGCAAAAATTTCAGGTATAGTAGTAATATCTCGTGACATTAATTTGTAATACAATATAATCATCCCGTGATCTTGATATAGAGATAAGAAGATTATACAAAAAGATATATTCCGATTTTTCAACTGTGCCTTTGGTTTACGGGCATTACATCGTACACAGCCGGATTCGAACATCATGTTATCTCCGTAGAAATAACATGACCACATGCTCTAACCGTTAATCCAAATCAGAATGATTACCGAATTTTTTAAATGTACTCCTTATAACCATATATAGGTACATAGCAGGCTTTTTTGTGATTGGATGATAGACCGGAATGTTACACATAGCAATACTAGAAACTGGAAACCCCGGTAAAATCTAGTTTGTGATCAAATTTTTTAGGAGCGTTACAGACGTAAAATGCGGTATTGACATTGCTGTTATAAAAGCATCAAAATCATAATTTCGGTCATCAAAGCGTATAGAAGTATGAGTTTGTCGCTTCGCTCCGGACAATTAGTGTAATGTTTCGCATTACAAAAAATAGATCTGTATCCACGAATTGTCAAAACTTGCATACCAAAAATATTAAACTACGTAATATATATGCAACAAGATTTCGTATGATCAACCACAGGGAGCATTGAAATTTTAATACGTATAATAATAAATAATAATAGAATTTTACCTTTCTAATTAAATACAGTATATGTATTACTGCTTATTGATCGTACCCTAAGATAGAATAACCGGTTAACCGTTAGATTACCCAGATATCCGGATTATAAAATTGATTATGTACTGTACATGTCTTTGTAAAGGAATGTAAATTAATATTCTTGTGGTTTATACAATTTAATTCAAAAACTACAAGTTTTGACGTCAAATATCTCCAAATATACTAATACTTATGTTTATTATTACATATTTTATCAAGTCATTACATTATTCAAACAACTGCAAAAATTTCTATCAATTAATTAGTTACTATAATTATTCAGTAGGAAGAAAAACTTTATTAATAAATAATAATCTTAAAACCCGTTATAGTAAACTTTCTCTGTAACTAGATTTATAAACGATTCTCTTTCAATCATGAACCAAATTAACACAAATAAATAATTAAAACGAAGCCATAGAAGGTTGCAGAGTTCTAAAATATACTCACGAGTTAAATAACGAAAAAAAACCAGTACCTAAATACAGCTCACCTTTGTTAGAGTGAACTCTTGATGTAATAGAATTAATTATATAATATTTTCGAGCCTATATGTTTTACTATAGCGTGAATATGTTGTTTTCTTGTTTTTCTACATATGAGCCACCTTTATTTTTTGTCGGCATATGAATAACAGCATATGTATACAGTTAATTTTCGTATAATGAACTGACAGTTCTTATAATAAAAATTTTAATGTCCCTTATAAAAGTAGTTTACTATTTCCGATGCTGGGCTCTAATAAATATTTTTAAAAAATGGTTATTATACTGTTATAGAGCATATTATACACAATATATTACTTTATACTTAGTTGTGACCTAATCATCCATACTCACGTGTTTGCTAATTTAATGTATTATACTCTACTACCTTACTAAACCATACACCACTACAATAACATATACATATTTTTATATCTTAATAATAAACTGTATATAATAGTAAAATCTGAATTGCGACTAGTAGAGGGTATATCTGGATATAACTGTTACCCTCTTATTTTATTAGGGTATAAACCCGGTTATTAGATTTTATTAAAGGTAAATCGGGTACAATCACTATTTTGAAGGACCTGATTTTCAAAATAACGTCCATGAACGTCATTTCACGCTTATATGGTAAATCCAATCTCGTATTGATAATTCTACTGGTGTGGACAATCACTTATATTTTGTGGTTACAATGTACCATTCGAGCACCTTCTTTTCATAATGTTCCGCGAACTATTCCATTTTTGTTGAATTTTGATTATATTCAAATGCCTTATTCTCATATTTCGATCTTAATAACACTAGCTATATAGTAAGACAAAAATCTTTAAATAGAAATGCGTCAGAAAACGAAGGACTTGATCCTAGTGTTCGGTACTAACAAGAATAAAAATTGCAATACCTTTGGTTGATTCTACTTTGTTTTATACGTAATTCAATAAAAAAAACTAGTTATTCAAATAAAATTCTCAGTAGTAGACATTTAAATAAGATGATAAAACTCGAATCGGTGTGTTTAACCATTTGAAAAGTTTACTAACTATGAAGAATCTTAACAATTATTTATTTTAACTAACGAAAAAGACCTAGATTCAATGGTAAAAATAAATATTTTTTCTGTAAATGTTGTGCCTTAAATCAATTTTTGCCTCAGGTGATAATTGAGGCACCTCAGGTGTTGACTGTTTGACCGGCATTAACTAATCGACATTAATTGGCCTAAACTATACTCTAATCCTTACCCTAACTCTAACTCTAATTTAGGCCGATTGACACCTGAGGCAAAAATCAATCTGAGGCACAACATAAATAAAAGGCTGCTGTGATACGGAATATCATAAATAATAATGGTATTAACGGTAAATCAGGTTTTAAAAAAAAAGCAATACTGTATCGGTATTAATCATTTATCTTATAATTCACGAAAAGATTTGAAAATTTATACGTATAACAGTACTGACATACAGTATATAACGAGAATGTTTATTTATTATTATATATATTTTATTTAATTAATAGGTCAGACCATTTGATCAATTTCACCAACTAGCTTGACCGGAGACCTTTAATAGTAATGGGCAATGAAGCACTTTTTTTCTTTTCAACGAGGGCAAACTTCAACTTTCAAAAAGTAATTTATTCTTTCATCTATAAATCACGTATATAACGAAATATGACCCTTATCTGACGTGATTTACTACATAATCATAATAATTATATTTAATGGGTGTGGATATATAGAGGGCGCAATTATGGAGGTCTGGTCGTAATTATATAATTCATAATTCTAGACAATCTTTAAGATTAGGATTAGAGTTAGGGTATTGGTCAATAGTTATAAATCGGCTAATTCCACATTGGAAAATAGATAAGTTCACGTTTAAAAATGCATGTCGAGATCATGAACTGCGGATTACGAACCTCAGGAAATTAGGGATGGTAAAAAAAAATGTTTTTATTGGTTTTTTTTTTTTTTTTTGATTGTTTAAAAAATGTTTTAAAACATTAGTGATTGTGGCTGTTGATGGCTGAAGCTAAAACTATTACATCTGAATGGTTAATTTAGCTTCAGTCATAACATTTATTCCTTAAGTAAGACAGCTTTTATCCTTGACACATGACTCGAGATTTCTTTAAAACAAAAAATCTTTCTAAAGCAATATACAAGTGATTAAAACACTTGCCATCTCTAGATGTAATGAACTTTTAGGATATCGATGTCGGACTTCTGATAGGGATTATAATGAAATCTGAATTTAACTCCAGAGGCTTGAATTTTTTAATACTCTCTAAATGCGGATATATGTCTAATCCCAAGAGCATGCACTTTGAGAGGTTGAACAGTACCTTAATAATAATAACCTTAATCGAGAAAAGTTACAATATTAAAATCGTGACTAAAGTGTGTGTGTCTATATTGAGGTGTGATAGGATTATATTATAACGATAATTTAACTTATAAATACTTTAGGCTAAATAATATTACAACATTGCTTCATTTTTTTCTTTTTTCTTTCTTCCCTTTCTCTTTCTTCCCTTTCTTGTCTAATCATTCTGACTACAGAATAAAATGAACTCTCCACATTTACACATGTCTTTGCAGATACTTCAATAAACTCACATTTTAATCTTCTTGCCATATTCATGCCTTCTTCTTGTGAAACTTCTCGTTCAGTAAACTTATCACAATTGGTACCAGCAAGTACAATGTGAACTTTGTGAGTGTCTTTGACTCTAGTAATCTGATCATGAAGACGTTCTATTTTTTCAAATGTAATCCTTGATGAAATCGAATACGTAAGAACAAATCCCTCGCCATCTCTATAATAATATTAATTAAAAATATAAAAATCAAACTATTTATAAAAAAAAAATCGATATTTAACATGTTTAATTTCATAATAAATAAATTACCGAATCCATTCATCACGTAGAGGAGCATATTCCTCCACTGTACAGATAATGATTATTAATACATCGATATTTTAGAAGGAACAAATTACTGGTACACGACTTTAGTAGTATTTTACGGGTTATTAATCATAATAAATACCTATCCCGACTGTGTCAAGTACTTCAAGTACACATGGTTCATAATCAACAACGACCAACTTACGGTAGGTATCTTCTATTGTTGCTTCATAATCCTGGTTTGTTTTAAGTAATAACAATAAATGTGTTTTTAATCATCTAGTTCATATATTCCATAGCCATCTAAATGAAATATAATAAATGGATGAAATACTTCTGCTAATAAGTTAGAAGAATAGGTAAGAAATTTAAATAAATTATTTAAAAATGGTTAAGCTTACCAACAAAATGGTTAAAAATAAGCTATGAACAAAAACAGTTTAAAGGCATTAATTATATCATAGTTATAGAAAAAGATTAAATTAAATAAAAAATTTTCAACAAATCTATACTTGTTTAACCAGTGCAGTCTGAAATAAATAAAATAATAAGTATTATAAATGAAACGACTTAATCCAAGTTAATTATTTTAAGTACCTTTCCAGTGTAACTATCGCCCAGACAAACGATTTTATAAAGAGAAACCATGATAGAAATATTATACTAGCGTTAGTAAACGTGAGAATAGCCTTTTAATAAAAAAAGCTCCGGGAAATTGCATGTAAAAGCATTTTATTAGATTGGTTAATTAGATTGGTTAAATTGATATGTATAATAAACCAATGCTGTTTTATTATTACATTATTTAATTATGCTGTGTGTCTACGTATGTATCGCGTTGCATATCGAAATCATTTAGAGCAATGCTTTACATGTTCCAAACTTTCTATTACAAGATTTTAAATTTGATATAAATAAATTGATTTACGAATTTGCTTCAATTAGTTATGTTTTTCTATGAGCAAGAAGAATTAGCTTAAATTTGCTATTGATGGTTGGTTTATAAATTTTTTTTCTTATAATTCTTTCGAAAAATTTTCAACCAATAGAAAGAGGAGGTTATGGAACTGTTATCAAAGCTTATTTAAAAAGCGCTGAAAAAACCATTGCACTGAAATGGTTGATATTTTTGGACATGATGTTTATTGAGTTTCCGTTAACGTACGAGTTACAAAACATTAGTGCAGTTAATCATCACGATAATACGATAAAATTTTTTGGCATTAGCCAAGGTACGTTCATTTAAAGATATTATGTGCTTAAAATTAATTATCATTTGAGTTTAAGAAAATGACCTTTCGAGACTGTAAATTATATGGACAAATCTCATAGGCAGATGTTTGTTTTGTCTAATAAATTCAATTTTAATTTTACATTATTTATACAGTTTAGAGTACTTTTTAAAAAAGCGAAACTAATCATAATAAAGTAAAAAAAAAAGCATATAGAAGGTTTCATTAGAGCTGTAGGACTCCATAACCAAAAATAAGATCCAATCCTCGTTCGTTTAAAAAAGTTAGTATAGTAATAACTTCTCAAACCCCGATAAAATCAATTTATTACTAAGCTAATTTTTTTAAACGGACGAGGATTAGATCTTATTTTTGGCTATAGAGTCTTACAACTCTAATGAAACCTTCTATACATATACTTGCCGCCTAAATCCCAAACTATTATAGTTTGGGTTTGTACGCGCCCAAATCCAAAACTCAAACCCAAATTAATATCTCAAAAACTTTATTAATAATCATTATTTAAACAAATAATATATATTCTTATAGCTAGATATAATATGCTTACAAAACATCAAAATTATTTTGTTGATTTAATTTTTTTTAAAAGCAATCTGTTTTTTTGGGGTTTGGGATTTGTCCAGGTTTTGCCACCAAGTATATCTATACAGCTTTTTTTATTTCATTATGATTAGTTTTTGTTTTTTTAGAAAAGTACTCTAAACTATATAAATAATATAAAATTAAATTGAATTTAGCCAATCAGACGAACTTCCGCCTATGAGGACAAACCCTCAGAAGCCTAACACCGAAAATTCAAAATCCCGATAACTCAATATCAATATTCCGACAATTCGACATCCCAACAACTCAATATTCTGACGCTGATCTTACTAGCATTAATATTAATGCTAGTAAGATTTGTCGGAATATTGCGTTGTTGGGATATCGAATTGCCGGGATATTGAGTTGTTAATGAATTTTCTGTATGTTGTTTGCGGGATTCTGAGTGTCTGGATTTTGAATGGCACCATTTTAAGATTTTGGATTTTAAAGGAGGTATTTTACTTTAAAATTATAAGAAAGTATGACTAGAATTTATTTCTAACCAATTTTAATTAATAACACACAAAGAAAGAATCATTTCAAAATTTAGTATTTTACTTATGGCATTGTGACTGTTACTACCCAAGTTCCAGAAGTTTATTTTCCTAGGTAAAGGACCCGTTCTACCTTGACTAATATATGTATAATCATCATTAACATTTCAATTCATGATTAGATCCAAATACAGAAACATGTTTCATGATTTTGCAATATGCAAATGGGGGAAATCTTCGAAACTATTTGTTTAAAAATTTCTTTAAATTGGATTGGAAGACTAAAAGTTAAAATGGCTAAAGATATTGCAAGTGACTTGAATTGTATCCATGAAGAAAAACATTGTGCATCGTAAACTTGTCAGTATATTAAATGTTTGGCTAAATGCATTTTATTAGTATTTAAATATAAGTTTAAAAACAGCATTCAAAAAATGTACTTCTACATGATGGGAGATTATTATTACTGTTTTCGAAATGGTTGAAATCGTCCCTAAAAATATTTTTTGAGTATATGCGTATACTCCGTATACTTCGTATACCGGATTACTTAGGTACTGCATTATTATACATAAACCATACTCTACGTTGTACATTGTACAAACTCCATTCCTGGTATAAATACCGTAAATCGCCATATAGAGTATCCGGGTACGTTACATTCCACAACCCAAAAACCTATAATGTACCCGGGGCGATACATTACAAGAAAAGAGGGTACAGTAATTGGGGGTATAGTAGTGGTGGGTATATAAACAGGAGGTTTGATTATCGATTTTGATTTAATCGCAATGGCACATTTGCACAAAAAGTAATGGTAATTCATGATGATATAGGGGTAGCAAATAAACACATTTAGTATAAATAAGTTGGATAAACGTTTTTTTTTGTCCTCTAAAAATTTTAACTTGGACAACCTAAGTTTTCAATCTACAAAAATCAAAAAAAAAAACTTATTTCATTAGAAATTTGTTTCAAACACCCACTTAAAACTAAAAAAAAAAAAAAATCGTGCCTTATCTTGACAACCGGCTACCTCAATTTTTTTAAAAAAAAAGTAAGAAACAACCTATTAGAAGTCTGTCTTAAACATGCACTCCAAGCCTTTAGGCTCTATAAAAAAAAAAGTAGAAGTCATATGTTAAATATTTAGCCCAATACCCCATTTAAAAGTCTAGTCTGATACCTCAGTTTTATTAAAATTAGTATAATTTTTCATTACTACAATCTCTATTTCACTATGGTTAGCAGAGCTATAATAATTTAGTTTTAAAATTTTATTTGTAAAATTTGAGAATGACATGACATAGAAAAAAATTGAAACAAGTCAATATTACAAAAAAAAAAAAAAAGAAGTTGAAAGCTTATGAGAAACTGGCTATTATCATGTATATTGAAAAGAAGCCTAATGCCAGTAAGCAAAATACTGCTGAACAATTTGATATACAACCAGTCCAATTGCATAAATGGATCAAAAACAAAGAACAACTAATAAGTTCTTTATCATATATTAGATGATTAAATACTAGAGGACATGTGAAATATTCAATATTAGAGACTAACCTTGTATCTTGGATAAAATCCTTATGTGCAAAACAAAAAGTGGTATCCTGATACATAGTTAGAACCAAGGCTCAATAACTAGCCAAGCAAACACATTATATTTTACTTTATTCAAAAATTCATGAATGCAAATAGAGTAATAAGTAGCTAGATGGGTTTATAAACCATTATCAATTAAGTAACCATCACTGAACTACAGTTTCACAAAAATTACCAGCTAATCTTGAAAAACAAAGACATTTGTTTTTAAATTTTGTGTACATCATGATTACCCTCTTTTATTAATAGGCAACATGGATAAAACTCCTTTGTTCTTTGACATGTCATCAAATTATACTATTGATGAAACTCATGCTAAAATGATTAAAATTTGTATAACAGAATATGAAAATTCCAACTTTACAGTTGTACTTAGTTGTATAGCTAATAGAAAAAAATTGCCACCAGTAATAATCTTCAAGTTAGTAAATATATCATGACAAAAATTTCTATCTGATGTTATTATTTAAACCAATCCTAAGAGATATATGAATTTAAATAAGATGGTTTGGTGAATTGAAAATGTTTGAAATAAATGATTACTTTTGTCTGTCAACCCTTGTTCATTGTTAGTTTTAGATTCATTCCTGGGCCATCTTATGACTAAAGTTAAAAATTGATTCTATGAAAAAAAACACCAATATCATCAACAAAAATTATACGCTGATATATATCAATTATTATCTACGTAGATATATATTGATAATAATCCCCTATTGGGTTATATCGATTGAGATAAACATTGATATATAGCTGTTATAACAGAAAATGCTATTAATCGATTATATAAAAAATCTGATATATATCAATATTTATTAAATAAATTTTATACTACTAATTTATAGCAATAAAGCAACAATAATGCTATTTTTAAAAATGCTTAAAGCAATAACTGGTTTTATTAAATATAACCTTTATTACATGTATATATTTGATATTAAAACTGATGTATTAACATTAAAAAAAACATGATACAAAGATAAAGAATAATATAAAGAAAAAAAAACAAAAAATAATGCAATTTAAAGAAAAAATATAATACAAAGAAAAAAATTATAAAAAAAACTATCACTAATACTCGATTCCAAATAATTTATCCATCTTTTTTTGTAACATCGATGGACTTTTTCGGAAATAAGTTTCAGAATCAGAATCATGAGGTGAGGCCTCTCTTGATTGTTCATTACTTTTAGCTTTGTCATTTAATATATTTTGTGCAGACTCATGTGATGGGTCACCACTTTCGAAATCTCTCTATAAAAATATATCAAATGTTAATACTATTATCTCTAAAAACAAAATATACAATTACTTACCAAATATTGTTTAATTCTATGTCTCATACATGATTCCTTACACAAAATGCTTCATGAGTGGGGGTTGAGAAGGATGTCACAAACTGTAAGCATAAATGCACAATGTTCACTAGTCATAAAGGGAACTGTTGCTATAGTAAAAGCTGTTTTTGTGATAAGAGACACCCAAAAGATGCCCTCATCATTTTTTTCAAAAAGTGCACAATAGTAAGCACTTACTTCTGAACTTTCCTTCCACCTTACAATATTGGCCTAGTCGCATTACTTCTTAACTAGAACAACCTCTTAACCCCAAAAACACTCTAAATTGCTGATTTAACACTCTGAAGAGCAACACTATGGGTGTTCTTGATTTTTTTTAGGAACTATATAATGTAAATTGTAAGTATTTAGAAAAT